TACATTTATCCATTTTAAATATACTAACCTCACTCTTTTGTAACAACTAAGGCAAAAATGTAATTGATTCAGAAAATCTTTTCAGGACCCCACCTTGATTTTTCGGGACCCCACTTTGGGTCCCGACCCCAACTTTGGGAAACACTGCTCTATAGCAGCGAGTCCAGACCCTCGTATGAAGCAAAGTGAAGGACAAGGGTCTGGTTTTTACCAGGCTATGGCACACTATAACATTTTTGACAATTTATGCCAACTTGTGAAAATTTTAAAGACCTCTACATTGATGATGGAATTTAAAAAATCAACTGGAAGCCTTTTTTTCAGTGTGAACATAGTTCAATGCTAATAAATTGGTGAAATATCCAACTTTCATTAGTGATTTAGACATTAAAAAGTTGGCATAAGTTGTTTAAAATTTTATAGTGTGACAGGACCTTTAGAATGACCAATAAAACATTGATTGTTAGTCCCAAATATAACTGCTAATGCTAATTTCACAAAGGGCGATAATTTAGTCATTTTTAAACATACAGCTGAGACAATTTTTAATAAAATCGGATTTCAGATATAAAAATTCAAGATGACTGCAAAAGCTAATTTCAAATGGGTATAACTCAGCCATTTTTAGAAGTAATGAGCTGAAAATGGGTGTTGTAGCCAAGAGCAATCACCGTGACAAACCTCAGCAAGCAAAAAAATATTTTTCATTGTACGCCCAGCTTTGAAAGGCCACATGCAAACCCAACACCCCACTCTTTTTCTTTCCAGCTTTCAATAATGGGTGATGAATACTGAATTTTGTTTTAGACTAATTAATTAAAATATTTTTATAACTTTCCATATATACATCCAGAAAACAGTGTTCATTGATCAAAGCGATTACATCAGGCCAAAGTTGTTGCTTAAAAAAACTATACTAGCCTTGAACTTTGGTCTTTTAAACACTCAGTCACAGACAGTGATCAAATCAACCCCTACCTGTTAGAAACAACACGTGTGATTGGCTGGACAATCTGCACGCCCCTCTAACATTGATCTCTGTCCCAAAAGCCACTCTTTACTTTGGAGTCTTACAGCTCTTACCTCAGTCACTTCCAGCATTTGGTCCTGGTCCAAGCCTGCAAAATGTCCGACAAAGGAGCCTTCGACACCAACGTAGTGACCCTGACCAGGTTTGTTCTGGAGGAAGGCAGGAAGGCCCAGGGAACAGGCGAACTAACAACTCTGCTCAACTCGATCTGCACAGCTGTTAAAGCCATCTCAACTGCAGTCAGGAAGGCTGGGATTGCTAATCTGTGAGTAACATTTGTTGTTTATTCATAGGAAACTGCACACATTTATTTTAGCTTTGTAAGTTTAATGAAACAGATGACTGACTGTTAGTATTAATGAATTAACCATTATTGCAGTGAAGCATGAGAATCAGTGTGCTGTTTTACTTTGAACCCCGGCCAAAGGTAAACTCTGTCAGCACAACCCCACCACGGACCAGAGGTTAGGACGATAATAGGTTTTTAGGGCCTTTGCTGCAGGACTGCTGGTGTTTTATCTGTGTTTTGAGATAAAAACGAATGAACTGAAAAGGTTTTATTCCATCTGAAAAGCCTAACTGTGCTCCTGCTTCCTATGTGGAAGATACGGCATTGCTGGAAGCACCAATGTGACGGGGGACCAGGTGAAGAAGCTGGACGTCCTGTCCAATGACCTGGTCATCAACATGATCAAGTCCTCCTTCACCTCCTGTGTACTGGTCTCTGAGGAAGATGAGAAAGCCATCATCGTGGAACCAGATAAGAGAGTATGTGTAACTCAACACAATGTGCGATCATGTTTATCCGATTAGCCTTATCAACGTTTTCTCTTTAATCACAGGGAAAATACATTGTGTGCTTTGATCCGTTGGATGGGTCTTCCAACATCGACTGTCTTGTCTCCATCGGAACGATATTTGCCATCTATAAAAAGGTCAGTCAGTCTGATTCTGTATGCTTTTACAAAAATTTTGTGTAACACTTTAAACACCTTATTTAGCCTTAATTAATAATTAATAAAGGGTTACTTAACCTTGAAAACAACATTAATTAAGGATGATTCAGACTTAATAAGCTATGAATTAACACATTTATTAATGTTTTACCCATAAAGGCTAATTACTTCTAAAACCAACATACTCATTGTTTACTCATGCTTAATAACTCATGAGTTAACTATTCTATATACTGTGTATATATTTGCAAATGCTCATGTAAACATACTTTCACACCATGTGTTAGACATGTATTATTGGTTAGAGAATGTTTGAATTGACTATCTACTAACCCTGCTGTGCATCAGTAATTAAGGCAGGTGTTGGTAGTTAGTTAAGTCTTTTTGTGAACCTTTCTAAAGTGAAGACTATTTATGTTTAATTAAGTATTAGTCACCAGTTAGATACCAGCTTGTATTTTTCTGTCCTCTGATATAGAAAGACTGCATTTCCACTTACAATCATTACATTGATTCATCCAATCACTATATAAAGGTCTAACCAGGAAGTTAAACACGTGCTCAGTTAGGAAAGCTTCATGGGAAATTTCACAAATCTATAAAATAAGAGTGTTTTGGGTATTATAAAGTTAGCAAATCTACATGTGTGCTTAAATATAATCTAAATAAAACTTTATTTACTTACTTAATCTAAACATCCTGTGTTTTATCATGTTCAATCTTAATATAATTCAAAGATAAAGTCAGAACCATGAGTGAAAACTATCTGCACTATAACCCCATAAATGGTGATTGGATGAACAAGTACAACAAATGTAAGTGGAAATGTAGTCTTTCTACATGAGAGGACAGAAAAGTTCAAGCTGGTAACTACCTGGAGTTTAATACTTAATTAAACATAAATAGTCTTCACTTCAGAAAGGTTCACAAAAAGACTTAACTAACTACCAATACCTGCTTTAATTACTGATGCACAGCAGGGTTAGTAGATAATCAATTCAAACATTCTCTAACCAATAATACATGTCTAACACATGGTGTGAAAGTATGTTTACATGAGCATTTGCATATATATATANTATAGAATAGTTAACTCATGAGTTATTAAGCATGAGTAAAAATGAGTATGTTGGTTTTAGAAGTAATTAGCCTTTATGGGTAAAACATTAATAAATGTGTTAATTCATAGCTTATTAAGTCTGAATCATCCTTAATTAATGTTGTTTTCAAGGTTAAGTAACCCTTTATTAATGATTAATTAAGGCTAAATAAGGTGTAGTTATTATAAAGTGTTACCAAATTTGGTAGTATCTGTTTTGTTTTGTTTTTATTCATGAGTAAACACAACTCTGACGTTTTTCACCACCAATGAAAGGCCAAAGGCAGGATTTTAAATATATATATACTCTATTAATCCTCAATGGAGAAATTAATTTATCTGCATTGTTCCCATGTGAGCATATATGGAGCAGAGGGCGGCCATCTTTGCACCAGGGGAGCAGCTGGGGTGGGTGAAGGGCCTTGCTTACGAGAAGCAAATGAGAGTGTTTGCAGATATTTTGTGCTAAGAAGAGTATTTGAACCTGCAACCTCCCAATCACAGACTCGTCATCTCTAACCTCTGCACCACTATTGCCTATGTGTGTTTGTTATTTGTTAGCACAACAACTGGTTAGCTTTTCAAGTCAACTCAATTGAATACAGCTGCCATAGCTAATGAACCTTAGGAAACACAGGTGCCTATAATATTGACAGATAAAGAGCTAGAATTTGGTGTGATGGGAATTGAGAGTTTTTCCACAGCTCCTTTAAATGCTACAAATTGCACAACATTTGCATTAAAACTTTGACTTTTCCATCTTCAGCAAAATATTTAATTCATGACTTATTAAAGATTGGAGTTCATCCAATTGACAGCAAATCAAATTTGACAGCAAATCTATTTTAGCTAACCAAAATGACTATAACTCAGTTAATTTCACAAAAACTGCAGTAAACTTTGTTGTGGTAGTAGAAGATTAGTGTTTAGAGAGAATAAGAAATACAGTAATGGTACAAAATAAAAGTGTAGTTCCCCTTTAACAATTACAAAATGTTGGAATTTATAAGGAGTTCCCAGGAAATATTTTGGATTTTACAATTTTCTAATTCAACTATGTTTTAAATTTCTTTTAAGTTTTTAAAAGTGTAAAAGGGGACATATCATGTAGAATCCATTTCTTTACATTTTGTTGTGGACTTGGAGTCTCTAGTAGTGCAGAAAAGTTGAAATTAGTCTCTCCAGGTGCTGTAAATGTATCTTTATATTGTCTTTGAGTCATGTTTTTCAAGCCGTTCAGTTTTATGTAAAATTGTTGGTGAAAATATGTTGTCTTTTTTTCCTTTTAATTGTGTTCTGTCTGGCAATGTGGAATTGTTGTCAGAGGTTCAACAGATTTACTTTCATAGGCAGAGTATCACAGCTTTCACTGTGCTGCTCAACTTGATCTACAGTGGTTAGACAATGAAACTGAAACACTTGTCATTTTAGTGTGGGAGGCTTCATGGCTAAATTGGACAAACCTGGTGGCCAGTCTTCATTAACTGCACATTGCACCAGTAAGAGCAGAGTGTGAAGGTTCAATTAGCAGGGTAAGAGCACAGTTTGACTCAAAATATTGCAATGAACACAACATTATGGGTGACACACCAGAGTTGAAAAGAGGACAAATTGTTGGTGCACGTCTTGCTGGTGCATCTGTGACCAAGACAGCAAGTCTTTGTCATGTATCAAGAGCCACATTTTCCAGGGTAATGTCAGCAAACCACCAAGAAGGACCAACCACATCCAACAGGATTAACTGTGGACGCAAGAGGAAGCTGTCTGAAAGAGATGTTATGGTCTAAAACCAGGGGTTTCACTTTCGTCTGACCCCTGTATGTTCTACCTTTGAACAATTCCAAAATAAAAAGCAGATCAATATTATATATATATATATATATATGCGGTACCTTTTACATCAGACATTAGAATGTATCCAACCTTGTTTATATTATGGAGAGAAAAAACACATAGATAAGACACACTGACTCTGTTCCTCTGTTTAAACCATATGGCTGCACAAAGTGTAAAATACAAGACTGGATCTATAACTCGGTTAATCAGTCACAAAATTACCTTTGTGTTGTTCATGGAGTTTCAATGATACACATGTTGTTGTTTTTTTAAAGAAATTCTACTTGTTAAATGTGATCATGTCTTTATGTTGAGTTAGTATGAATATTTGTTGTTTTTACCGTTGCAAACACATCATCTGTGAAAAACCTACAAGTTATTAAAAAATGAATGAGAAAATGAATATTTCTCTAACAGGAAAAAGGTTTCAACTGTATCTCATGGCTGGTCCGTTTCTAAAAGTATTGATAATTTTCAACCCTTGGGCAGACTACAGTGGGAGAACCCTGCGAGGAAGATGCTCTGCAGCCTGGCAGGAACATTGTAGCAGCTGGTTACGCTCTGTACGGCAGCGCCACCATGATGGTCCTCTCCACCGGTCAGGGGGTGAACTGCTTCATGCTGGACCCGGTAAAATCAGCGTTTTACTGGACCTGATGGCATCACATAACGTTTTTAACCAAAGTTGTGTTGTGTTGCGTGGGTGGGGTTTCTTTAGGCGATAGGGGAGTTTATCTTGGTGGATCGAGATGTGAAGATTAAGAAGAAGGGAAAAATCTACAGTCTGAATGAGGGATACGCGCAGCAGTTTCATCCAGATGTAACAGAATACCTGCAAAAGAAGAAGTTCCCACAGGTAGAGACAAAAACACTTTAGGTATTCACATGTAAAGCAGCTATTTTAGTGGCAAAATTCTATTACAGTTATAATAAGTCTTAGCTCTCTGTTTGAAGGATGGTTCTGCTGCGTACGGAAGTCGATACATTGGATCCATGGTGGCAGATGTTCATCGAACACTGGTGTACGGAGGAATCTTTTTATATCCTGCTAATGTCAAGAGTCCAAAGGGCAAGGTGAGGTGCTGGAAAAATCCATTAAATGTCCTATTTAAAGCAGGTACTTCAGGTTATGTTGGTTTTAAACACAATTTATCAGGTTTCTTTAAAGTCACAACTTTGTTTCGCTGGCTACCATTAAGTGAAAGGTGTGTGTGTTCATTGTCTGTAAATCACTGTTTTCAATACAGCTTTCTGAAAATAATTCAATTCAAGATGGCCACCAAAGGAAAATCTACTTTAGCAGTAAAAATGCAAGCCATAACTGACTGTATAGAAACTGAAATAAAATTTGGTGTGCTGGTAGCTGAGACTGATCCAAACTCCGGCACTAACTGATTGCAAAAGATCAGTTAAAATATAAACATCTTGCTGTTAAATATTAAAATCAACATTGGCTATAAACTCCATATCACAAACCAGTGGTTGCATGGGATTGAAGTATTGTAATTATTGGATGTACGTCTACAACTGTTTAAATAACCCAACGCTAATCGGTCTTTAAAGGGATCCCTGATTAGTTGTAACATTAGACTTTATTTGATAAACATTTACTTTAACTGTAAAATAAAGACTGTAAAAATACTGTTTAGTTTAGTAAATTTTTAAAAATATATTTTAACACGGACGAAGCCATTTTATTTCCACACAAAGCATTCTGGGTAAATGATGACGTGGATAGGTCCTCGGTGCGAGYCTGCTAGCGAGCTARATCCACCCTGAAGGTTAATCTTGGACAATATCTGATGATCGACTCTTTTAAATGAAACCAGAGAGCGTTGACAGAGAGGAGAAGGTAGAAATGACTCAGCCTGGAACTGAAAATATGGATGGAGGACAACAGAGCTGCTTCATGGAAGAACAACCTCAGCTTAGCCTGTTAGCCTTTGTGCTAGCGTGAACGCTATATTGTCTTATATGAATTAGCTCAGTTCTAGCACGACAAAGAAGCTAAACTGAGTTCCTCCATCCATATTTTCAGTTGCAGCTGAGTCATTTTTGTGTTCCCCTCTCTGTCATGTGGATGGAGGACCTCAGTGACGAGAGGAGAATGTGTAGCGCTGAGCTAATACATATATATGGTGATAGCATCGGGGCTAATGCTAAAGCTAACAGGCTAAGCTGAGGTTCTTCTTCCATGAAGCAGCTCTGTTGTCCTCCATCCATATTTTCAGTTCCAGGCTGAGTCATTTCTACCTTCTCCTCTCTGTCAACGCTCTCTGGTTTCATTTAAAAGAGTCGATCATCAGATATTGTCCAAGATTAACCTTCAGGGTGGATATAGCTCGCTAGCAGCCTCGCACCGAGGACCTATCCACGTCATCATTTACCCAGAATGCTTTGCATATAAATAAAATGGCTCCGTCCATGTAATATATTTTTAAACTTTTAGTTTAAAAATTATAAAAACTAACAGCCTACAGTATTTTTAGTCTTTATTTTACAGTTAAAATATATGTTTATCAATTAAAGTCTAATGTTACAACTAATTATGGATCTCTTTAAAGAAACAATGACTGATATACTGTACCACAATCAGTTTTATAAATATTGAGCTAACGTTTGTTATTTTTAAAGTCTGACCCAATCTAAAACTCTGTTATGTTTCAACATAAATGAGTCTAAAAGGATTTAAAAGTGCTAATCTCTTTGTCTAATATTTTGGCATGTCAGTGGGCAAGTGATAAAAGCCTTTAATTTGCTCTGTTGACCAGCTGAGGCTGCTGTATGAGTGCAATCCCATGGCCTTCATCATGGTCCAGGCAGGAGGCATTGCCACCACAGGATCAGAAAACATTCTGGACATCCAGCCCACCACGATCCACCAGAGAGTCCCTGTGGTCCTGGGGTCCCCTGATGATGTGCAAGAGTACATTACCATCTACAAGAAGCACAACAAATAAGGTACTCAGCTCTTAACCCTCGACCAGCCATTTATTACATCAATAAGCACAAAAATTACATTGTTTTCTTTATTTTTCTTTCATCAGCAGGTCAGGTTCAGTAGTTAGAAACATAATCAGAACCGACAGTCTGGACATTCATCCGGGTTGTTATTTGTGCTGCACTGATGAAGAACCAACCCTTCACTGGATCTATTAACTCTGCTCCACACTGCAAGTTTCATCTTCCTGTTGTGTGCCATTTTTAGAGTTGTGTCTGTATTTTTAAATAAAGTCTAAGGAGAAGAGTCTGTGAATTAAAAAAGAAGCTTTTTTGTGTGTGAATTGTTCCTGTCTACAAAAATGTTACTATGATGCACAAAATCTATATTTCAGTTGTAGCAACTTGACAAATCGCAAAAGATAAATTTAGCAATAGTGCCCAAAATATTGTTTTCTCTTCAACAAATTCAAATTGTTTTTATGTTTTTTTTTTACCAGCAGCTGTAACCTGAACTTTGAACTTTTCATTTCTTTAAGCTATAATGATGAAACTGATGTTTGAACTGACAAATATACTGCACTTACCTCATTTTCATTCCATTACAAACACATTAACTTTATAAACTCTTATACGATCTTTCTGTGGTCAACAAAATGTGGGTCCAGGGTCTTGACCAACAAAAACAACTTTTGACCTGCTGTAAAGAAATGAATTAATACCCGGACAGGAGTTGTCAAAATATGGTGAATCCAACCCATGTCTTTACTTTAAATCATCTTAAAATGTGTTATTTACATTGCTGTAATGCTGAAACAAAGTGAAATTAACAGTGTCCCATAAAAGAGGAACTAAGGTTTGATACACAAGAAGTAAAGGAAAAGCATTTTTTTATTCATGTGTTCGTCTTAAAAAGAATGATTTTCTTAGAATATGTTCTGATTAACCAGTGTTGTATAAAGTACCACAAAGTGATACTTGAGTAAAAGTACAAGTATCTTACGAAAAAAAAAAACTCTTGGTAAAAGATAAAGTCTCCTTTAGGAATATTACTTGAGTAAAAGTCTTAACAACGCTATCACCATATATATATA